ATCAGGTTTTCATAACGGCGTTACATTTATGTAAATCAAAATGTAATGTTTTTGAGAAAAAAAAGTAGCTCATGAGAACGCCTTAAAAATCTAATTACGGTTTACTAGTCTGTTTACTTGTATTCCGTATGGGACTAGTCGGAATTTTCTTTTTCGTAATGCTATTACAGCAAAATCGATCAAATTTTATTCTGAGAATATGTCAAAAGTTTAGTCTTTCTCCACAAGAAAGGATGTGGTTGATAGTTTACAAAGAATTTGATAGCATGGTTTTAGAGCTAGATATGAAGGTTAACGATCAGATTCAACGTAAGACAGAAAAAACTACAACTGACATAATTTTTCAAATAACAAAATATATGTCCTTCGACTTTCGCGTTCGTTTTACAACGTGGAAAAAATGTTTATTTCTGACTTTGAAACAAATACTGAATATAACTTATACAGCCCATATGCTCATCAGTGAAGTTAAAAGAAAGGCAAATGTTTGGCTTCCCAAACGATATATTTACGTCATTATTTTTACATAAAGCATTAATTAAATCTTGCACAAAAATAAAATAATGATGAGTATTTAACACTAACACTATCTCAATTCAGCTTTCTTACTTTTATTTCTATTCACGTAATTAAGCAATGGTTTTAGATATATGTCAAGGTATAAACATTTAGGGTTGCTATCAAATCACGCACCCGAACATCATCTTTTTCTGACTGTAGATTTCTTTCATTTACGATAAGTGTTCGATGAAATCGATAGGATTTTCTTGTCTAACGAAATAATGATAAGTCTCCATGTGATCTGATGAGGTCATGCATTCAACTGATATTCTCCATTTGAGCTCGTATGTTGTTCATAGGTACAATTCATAGCATAGATAAAAATTCTGACAGAATTCATGCAATTACGCTTTTCTTCTTTAATTATGTTCATGTACTGAATATGTTTGTCAGTATATATTCTCTATTCATCCAAACTCACACTCACATCCACACCCGGCAGTTCTCAATATACAAAAACAAAAAAAGAGTCTTCCTCTATAATCTTTAGATGATTTTATTGTTCAATACATTCATCAGCAAGAGCAGTGTAGATTGTATATCAGATATTCTATTTGAATACATATATGATGTTTAAGTATTGTTTTAGTCGTCTCCTGTGTAGATAAAGAAATAAATTTAGAACAATGCGGTATGTTAATTTTCATTTGATACATGGTTGTTTAGTGAGATATACATATCTATTCTGTTGCTAGAACTGCAAAAAGTTTTTTATAAGTATGGAAAAAAATTCCCTACATTCTGACTCGTCGTTCTCTAAATCATCACGACACTAAGTATGGAACTCTACTAATAAGTCAAATAGTACATTTTAATATGTTGTTGTTGGATATTAATATACTATTCTGTTTTTTAAAATCCACTAATGTAATTTATGTTACGTGTTAAAATCTAAAATCTAAAAGTTTACTAGAGTATAAACCAATGATGAAAAAACGTAAACAATAACAATCAAAATCATATTTATAGTTGTACAAGAAAACAAAAGTAGCGATGCGAACAACATTTTAATTCTTTCAAAATGACTTCATCAACAATTATGATTTAATGTTCTATATTGTTCACAATCATCAAATTACTTGAAACGTCCACATTGTTTATTTTTATCAAGCATGTCTTTAATGAACTATCATATTTAATGAAGATTGATCGAAGAATTTCTATTATAAAAAGTTTGTTTTTGTTTAATTTTCTTCTCTATTTAATGATGTTATTAAATTTTCTATGTTTTCTAATATTCATTCTTCTAATTCTATTTTCAGTCTCTTGTGATTTGATATCATTATTAATACAATTAAGTGAACCTATCTTTCATCTTTTTTTTTCCCCTTAGAAACAATGATTTGACACATATTGCTTAGCTGTTATTGTTTTAATTCTATAAAAAAAAAAAAAAAAAAAGATTGCACAGATGTACTGCGAAGAAAAAAAAATACATAAAACAAATCATATTCGTTCATCGAAGCATATTAAGACAACTTTTACTTAAATTGAACGACTTGAGAGCTTTTTTGTCTAATTAAAATCAACCACATGGAAGAATTCAAACAAAAAAAAAAAAAGACATCATTGAAAAAATGACCTACGAAATAATTAATGAACTTGTTGTTAAAATTAAATGTTCAACATTCTGAACAATCTATTGAATATTTTAATATACATAAGAGTTTGTTTTTTTGGTGAATAGGACAATTGATTTTATTATATTTTTGAGTAATGAAAAACTGACTATGCACTCTTTCACTATGTGAGTCATAGAGTCTTTCGAAGAATTGAAACTAAAATTGAACAATTAGTTAGCTTCATTTATCTTCTGTTTTTTTGGTAAGTGTTAAAATGTCTCGCAACAAGTTATCCCCAAGAGATTATACAACATAGATGAACAAAAAAAAAAAAAAGATCTATGTCGATGTGTTATACATGTAATTTTGTCGACAATGAACATCTTCATTTCATTCATACTAAATGATGTTGAATGATTAACGAGTCATAATAGAAAAACAAAATTGATTAATTTGAAATTCAGTCATTTTTTTTTTCGATTGGTTAAAAAAAAATGCGTTTTGTTTGTTTCTTATTGGTTAGAATAAAAAAAAGAAAAGTTAATTTTCATCTTGTAAATGGCAGCTATAAACAAAATGAACAAAAAACAAGAAGAAAGAAAGAATCGTGATTTGGAAGATGTATGGAAAAAAGTCGTTAGTTAATCTATAAAACAAGTAACAGCAAAATTTTGTCTGTACTTAATTCTCATGAGAGCATAAGAAGAAGAAGAAGAAAAAAGAAAAAGACGAACGGACTCTTTTTTTTTTCTCGTTATCGTTTGAATTTTTTTTCTTTTAAAGCATCATTGATGCATATCGATTCGGTACAATAGTTGTTGTCGTCTCTTTTAATCAAGTTTCTCTCTTTTTTTTTTTCTCTATTCTTCGAATAACTCGAGACGAGTCATTGGCTTTTCTCGTCATTTTGGCATGATGTTCGCTTGAAGAAATATTCAATCTATCATATCATATATAGAGACAGCAGTAACGCTCTATTGAAGTCTTTTTTTTTTTTTGCTTCTGTCTATCTTTCTCTTCCCTTCATTGACTTTTGGAGACTGTCTCTCATTTGTGCACAAGAGGCTTGTTCCTGTGCGAAACCATGTTTCCGTTCAACCAGTTCGTTGCAGCTCAATACCGATATTCCAAATTCGGTAGGTGCTCTGTATATTTTTCCCCTATCGATTCTTGCCTCCCTCCTTTTTTTTTTTATCCCTTTGTGCTCCAATGAATCGCGAGAGTTTATATTATCTATTAGTAAACTCATCATTGGCATAATCAATATATTTATATCTTTTATAGGACATGGAGGTATTAATCAACTCGGTGGAGTTTTTGTTAATGGTCGACCATTACCAGATCTTGTTCGTCAATCCATTGTTGATTTAGCTAAACAAGGTGTACGACCATGTGATATAAGTCGACAATTACGAGTATCACATGGATGTGTTAGTAAAATTCTTGGAAGGTAATAACAAAATAAACAAATAGAGAAACGATTCAATGTATTGTCTTTGCCTTTAGATATCATGAAACAGGTTCAATTCGTCCCGGTATTATTGGTGGAAGTAAACCAAAAGTTGCTACACCAAAAGTTGTTGATGCTATAAGTAATTATAAAAGTCAAGCACCAACAATGTTTGCATGGGAAATTCGTGAACGTCTTATTGCTGATGGAATATGTGATTCAGATAAAGTACCAAGTGTTAGTTCAATTAATAGGTAAGAGAATATAAAATTTCTATTGTATATTATATGAATAAAAAGACTTAATGTATTTTGTAAACTAATGATTCGAAACGACATTGATTTGCCGACACATATTCATTTGTTACTCATTTTTTCTTCTTTGATTGTCTCTATTCAAGAATTGTTCGTAATCGTGGAAATTTAAATGATAATTCAAAATCAAATAATCATAATAATAATAATAATTCATCACCAACAACATCAAATGAAACAACAACAACACCATCAGCTGTTATAAGTGGTACAACAAGTAATGAAGAGGATAGTCGAAGTCATCCAACAGGTGTATCATCATCACCTAATGGTTATAGTATTCATAGTTTACTTAATCATTCACAATATAATTTACATTCAAATGAGTATTCAATAAAACGTTCTCATCATCATCACCATCATCATCATCATGGATCTCGTATAAATCATCATATCGGTAAGAAATTATTAATTGAACTGTCATAGAATACAACTAGACAAAGACCAAATCGATAGTATAATCTCATAGGAATTTATATAAATTTTTTTTTTTTTTATAGAAATGCTTGATTATAAACATTTTTCGGCTGAACAAATAAATTTTTTGGATAAATTTTTTAAAGATAATCCATGGGCTGATAATGCACAAATTGAATCAATTGCTAAAGCAACTGGTTTTGCAGAATCAACCATTAAAGTAATCAAAACAAAAAAAAAAAATTAAAAAAAATATTTTTTATTTAATTTGAAAGATTTATATTGATCAACGTCGTGCTAAATGGAATTCAATGTATACATCAAATAATTATCTTAATTATAATACAAATGATTTTTCAAATGATTTATCAACACAATCATCATTTCATAATGTTAATCAACATTTTATTGGAAATAATAATACAATGAAAAATGATTTTGATATACCGTCAACACGTTTGTTATATATATATATATTTTTTTAAATTTATCTTATTTAAATTATATTTAGAATCGAATGAACTTTTTTGTACGTCATCAACATCTTATCCAACATCAACAACAAATTTTTCAATACCAGCACATGGATCAGGTAAAATAATACAAAAAAACAAAGACGACTATAACGTCGTATGAATAATAGAATATGATATCTTCCGATGTTTTACGTTGAGTATATAGTATCGTGTATTCCTATTTGATCATGGTAATACAAGCTTCATATGAGTAGATTTAGGAATGCATATATGATTAAATACAGAGAGTTTTGCTTTCGAAGCTAAGCAAAAAAACGAAATTTTTATTCTTAGATTATTATTCTTCAAATCCATATTCAACTGATTGGCGTTATTCATCATTTTCAAATTTTAGTAAATAATTCTATTGTGTAAGTATTTAATGAGAAATCTTTATATTTAAATTTTCTATTCGTATTTATTAAATAGATCGTGATATTCATCCATATTATCCTTATTATGTATGCGATTCATCGCTCAAATCCGAACCTATTCCAGAAAAAATAAACCACCTATCATTTTGTTGTCTATTTTCATGTCTAAAATTACTTCGTATTAATAAATGTGCATTCTTTGTTCATAAAAATTCTTGTTTGATTTTCCATTTTTCTCTCTTTGAATTTGATCGCATGCAAAAAAAAAAAATACAAAATACAAACGCACGCACAAAAGGAAAGAATCTTAAAATCCAACAACATCATCGTCATCATCACTATTATTTGTTGTTTTTTTAACGGGTTGTTTGGTAACAATTGGACTTGTTCTTGATGGTGGTCGAGTATTATCTGGTGACATATGACGAGGTGATTGATGATCACTAATTGATGGTGATCCAGGACGATGAGTTTTGGAAGACGAAGATGGGCGTCGCTAAATATTTTTAATAAAATTAATTAATTAAGAAATTTAGAAAAAAAAAACTCTTTACTAAATTGGCAGGTGAATCTCGATCACTTGTTGAAAATCGATTGAAAAAACCAAGTTTATCTAGATAAAAGACAAAAGAAAAAAAAAAGAAATTAAATTTAAACGATGTTTCAATACACACTTCGATCATTAGGCACGGTGTGTTTCGAACCATCAACCAACGGTGATGAAGGTCGATGACTGGCAGGTGGAGGTGAAGGGGATCGATCCTAGAGAATAAAGTTAAGGAGAAAGTAAGCGGGGATCATGGAACACTATTTCTACACTTACTGTTTTAGAAACTGAACTTCGAGCACTTAAAGATGATCGATGATCAGATTGAATTTTATCTAAAACAAACAAGACACTCAATTTTGTATTCATAATGAAAATTATAAAAATCTTTTTACCATTAGGTGATGTTTGTTTTGTACTTGATTTTGATTGATCATAAGGTGTATCTCGTTTTTTTTCACTAATATTTATTTCAATAATTGATTATCTATCATGTTAATATTATTTTTTACCTTCCAAACAATGCTCGAGTTGGTTTCGATGATCTTACACTAGGATAATCATCATCTTCACTTTCAGTATGTTCAGATTTTCCGATTGGAGCTGGTGAACGTTGTTTAGGTGTAGGAGACGATATGCCGCTTCGAGTTTTGTCAATTTCTGATCGATTTAAATAGCCTCGCAATGCTGCTTGTACATTTTTTAAGGCAGTCTGTACAATAGAAAAAAAAAATTGTTTTCTTATAATTGTAATATTAAGAATTCTTACTTCATTAGGAGTAGCACTAGCTGATGATGGTCGACTTCTAATAGAATCCCTATCGACATTATCAACTTTAAAATTTGAACGTGGTGATTGTGTTTCTGATGATTTCTAAAGATACAAAAAAAAAATAGCAAAAGTTTTATCAATAAATCTGTAACGTGACGCATTCGAAAGGTATCATTTTCAAGATATGAATGATTTTTATCTGACAAGAATGCAATCATATGTATTCATAAATCATAAATACAAAATATGTGCACTCATGTGATTCAAACTGAGTAAAAAAAAAGCCGCCGGTATACCGAAGATTAACCGGTGGTAGTGTGATATTTAAACAATTGGCTATCTTCTCACTGTCGGTACTTATAGGTAATTGAATTCAACAAATCGTTTTTCTATGTGAATAAAATGCTGAATAATTTATTCTAAGAATGATTCGATTCTAAAAATAATTTACCTTCGAGGCGCTGATTTTGGAATCCCACTAAATAATAAAAATATTATAATAGATAATGTAAATACAAAAATGATGATATATTACTTTATCTAAATTTTCATGTCTTGCTTTATTTATATCACGCAATGGTTCTTTACGTGATTTATCATGATGACGCCATCCTCGTTGAATGACAGTAGCTGCACGTTTTTCTCGAAAATTTTTTACACGATTATCATCAGCACTTGATAAAAGTAAATTTCATACGATTATTTTATTAGTAGACAAATAATTAAGAATTTCATCTTACGCAGTCCAATCCTTATCATGTACATTTTTAGCTGATGATTTTACTGGTGTTGTTGGTCTTTTTACATTTAATGATGTATTTGATGTACTAGTTGATAATGTACGAGATCCTATTGGTTCCATGGGCTTTCGAACTGGTGTACTGGGTCTAAAAAATCAGTATAAGATTTTAGAAGTTTACGCTTATGTTAAACACTGATTAGAGCCTGGATTTTATCGAGTTTAAGTTCGAAGACTGTCGGCCTCAGATCACTCATCAAGAACACTGGATTAGACTAGCCTACTGTCTAGAGCTACATGTAGTATTTATTGTTCCTTGTCTTTGTAGCCTTGAAGAAAAATAGATTCATTTAAGTTGAACTGTTAATATTACTCTAGTAATCCTAAAACCTGTCTATGAACCAAGTTTCAAGTGAAAAACTCAATAAAAGACTTATATAACAGTCAATCGGTGTACGACAATTCGAAGGGTTGGATCCTTTGTTTTGAACTTACCTTGAATCACTTTTTGTATGTTCTTCAGATGAAGCTGAATCTCGATGAATCACATTAGGTGGTGATCGTGGTGTTCGATTTTCAACTATTGGTGATTGTGATCGCTTAGAACGTGTTGTTGATAAACTGATAGAATCTCGATGTTGTTGTTGTTCATCACGTTTTAATGCTGGAGATGAACGTCCAATTTGATTCAAGTTTTTTTGTTTATCAAGTTCACGTCGCATATCTTCAAGTTTTTCGTTAGCTTGATCAAGTTCTTCACGATATCGATCACGTTCACGTCGAAGTTTGTCCAAACTAGCATTTATTTGTTCAAGTTTATTTTCAGAACTTTTACTTTTTTCTTTAAGATCTTCAATTGTTCTTAATAATTCTTTATTACTACTATCATCCTAAAAATAATGAAATTTGAAAATATCTATAGGCTTTTTGCATATATGAGAAAAAAAAGATTAGAGCTTCAACAGTAAATAGAATCTATGAACTCTCTCATAGACATCTAAAACCACAATTCCTTCTTTTTCCCAATGTCACGATTAAGTTTGAAACACATCATATCTAAACATCATAATGATATTACTAAATTTTTGAAAACAGTTTCGATTAAAAAGTTTTCTTTTCGGAAAATTTCAACGAAAACGAATGCATACTGAGCGCTTAACAAAAACAAAATTTTTGGAAATAAAGTAAAATTCATAGAAAAACAGTTTCGATGGAAGAAGCATTTATACATCTTTATGCTAGTTAAGTAGACACACTATTTTCTAGAGATAAAAATATTCAATGACTAAAAAATTTTTGAAATGTTTATGATTTTATAAATGAAATAACATACCACTGAACGTGTTGATAATGGTTTTCCACGTTCTAATTCTTCAACTTTCTTTTTTAAAATTTCATTTTCTGTTTTGTATTCATCTTTTTCTTTAGTTAATTTTCGTACAGCATTCTTTTTTTCTTCATCAACTGTAGCTACATAATCACTTAAGAGAAAGAAAAACGAAAATAAAATTATTGAAGAAATCAAATAAAATAGTTTTTTTTTTATTACTTTTGTTGAAGATAATTTAATCTTTCTACTTTTTGTCTGTTAAGTTCACCAATTAAAGCTCGATTTTGTATTTCTAATTCTGTACCTTTTGTCCATCTTGGATCACTTTTTATTTCCCTATATTCAAAAAAAAACTATGTTTATGTATATTTTTCATCTATTTTATTTGAAACATACTCAATCGTTGCTACTTTTTGTTTAAGATCTGATTCTAATTTAAATATACGTTGTTTTAAACGTAGAATAGCATTCTGAAAAAAAAAGTAAGATTTTCTTTTATTATTTATATTTATATAACATTTACCGCATTGGAAATATTGTTATTTCGATCTGTTAATGATCCTGATAATGTTCCTCGTAAATCACCATCCTAAAACATTATTCTTATGGAATAATAAACTTTAATATAAAACAATACCTTGTTTGTATCACATAAGGAATCGATTTCTTTTCGTTTACGTGCATTATCTTCATCTAAACGTCGAATTTTAGCACGAAGAACACTATTTTCACTTTTAACTGTTTTCATTTCCTTAATTGATAAAATAACAATGAATATATCAATAAAATATTAAAATTCGAATAAAACTTTTTTTAATAATTGTATTTCATCATAATAATCTTCTTGTGCTTTATATTTTGGATTTCCACTTGTTGGTCGATGTGCTATTTAAACAAAAAACAAAAAAAAATTTAATTCTAATTAATAATCTTTAAGAAAAACAAATATTCTTCTTACTATTAGATTTAAATGTTAATTCACTGGCAGTTTTTGTACGTGGTATATCTCTTTCAGAAATCATTTCATTTGATGCATATGGATTTTGTTGAAACATATCTCGTAAATAACCTGATGTACTTCGATAAGCAAGATCTGTATCATCAAATGAATTTAAATGTGTAAATGGTTTTCGTTTTCTATTCATATATGGTGTTAAACCTTAATTTAAATTATTTTTGTAAAAACCTTTTTGTTTTTCTCGAATTCTTTACATCTTACCTTGACCATGTGGTAATTGTTCAACATAAATTTCGCGTGCATTTCTTGTACGAATTCCTCCATTGACTTTTGACATGTTAACAAATTGAAAATATTTAATCGAACAATCACAAGTAGATATGTATTATAATTGGTACTATGGAAACAACATCCATGAAGAATGGTTGACGACAAGAAACGACCTCTATGGGTTTTAGTCTTTTTAATGCTGAACGATGGCGACAAACTTTAAAATCACAAAAAAAAGCAAAATACCTGTGTTTTTGAATTAAACAGAATGACACGCCTTTTTCATACCATTTTCCTTTCTATTTGTTTTTACCTCTTTGTTTTGTTTGTTTTATCAAGCATTTGTACATTTTATAACTGACTAAAGTTGGT